CTTTCTGTTTTTTTTTTTTTTTTTTTTGGGATCCCGCGCCTGTCTCTCCGCCGCTTGTAAATGATTATTAAACGTTTTAAAACCTGATTTTATTCCATCTCGTTTATCTTGCCGCCCTGGTTCAATCTCGTTTCACCTGCATTCCTGGTTAGCTTTAGGCTCTCTCTCTTCCTGGTCTTTCCTGACCTGAGGGGGTTATCTCATTTCTTTCCGGGTTGTGCATTCCTGGTCCTGTGCCGTTTTATTCTTTCCGTTCCCTGGTCTTTTTCCTGGTTGCATTCCTGCTCCTGTGCCATTTTATTCTTTCTGTTCCTGCCTTTTTTTTTTTTGTTCTGTTCCGGGTTTTGCATTCCTGCTCCTGTGCCATTTTATTCTGTTCCTGGTCTTTCCTGGTCCAGTCTCATTCCATCCCTGGGTTATTTCATTCCATTCCATTCCATTCCATTCAAGCTTTTAGCCGTTCTGTTGAGTGTGCAACTTCCATGAGGGAGGTCAGGTGTTCGATTCTTGCCATCGGATCATGGTCGTAAACTGCAATTCCACTTCCCTTTCGGGTTTAATACCATTCCTATAGTGTAGTGATTTTTTTTTACCGTCGCGGGTCGTCGAATCTCATTGCACCTGCATAGCGAGTTGGATTTCCTTCTTCTTTGCTGGTTCCAACCGCTGGTTTGATTTCCATTCCATTCCATTCCTTGAGTAATCTCGTCCTCTTCTGATTGCTTTTTCCTTGTTCGACATCCTGCTTCACTATCCTTTCATTTCCATTTCACTACCCTTCCTTCCGTTCCTGGTGCGCAAATGTAATGTCGTTCTGATCTGTTTGAATTCCTCCTGAGCAGGTCTCATTTCTGTCCTCTGGTCCTCCTGAGCAGGTCTCATTTCTGTCCTCTGGTTCAATCTTCGTCCATTTCTGTCCTGGTTGCATTGCTGGTCCGATTTGCCATTCCTGGTTCCTGGTTCACAGAGGAGGCTATGACGTTTGTCTAACGGGTTCCAAGTGTGAAAACTAACCGGGTTTCCTCGTGAATTAACCCAATGTAGAACTGATTTCTCGTCGATTAACCCAATGTGGTCAATTAACGCGATGTAGTACTGATTCGTCGTCAAATAACCCAAAGTGGTTTAGTTCCAAGTGCAATTTTTTTTCGATTCGATCGCGAGACTCGACGCCAAGAAGGTCTGCTTCAGGTGTGAAACCAACCGGTTCACCTGTCCAGTTCGGGCACGTGTGAAACCAACGTGGGTGGTCTTCACGATGTAATAACAGGTTCCTTTGTTTTCTGGTCGTTACGTTTCCATAACTCCTTTTTCGCAGACACAGGGTGTACCCACACTAGCTCTATATCTTGAATGTATCTGGTCGCATTTACGGCCCGACCTGGATGTTTATGAACGCAATTACGTCAAATCACGAAGTTAGAAAAATCCTAGCGTGACTACGCACACGGAATCAACTTCTCGAAAGAATTATCGAAAACAATTTTTTATTCCTCGGAGCTGGGTCCTCGATTGTCTGGTTCCTCTCTCTCTCCCCCTCTCTCTCCCTCTCTCTCCCTCTCTCTCCCTCTCTCTCTCCCTCCCTCTCTCTCTCGCTCGCTGTTTGCTTGTTTACGAGTTCGGTCGATCGGTTCTTGATTACTTAAGAGGTAGGGGATAAGGCTCTTTCCTCCTTCAGACTTCCGTTATCTTTTTAACTGGATTAGGTTCTTTCAATTTGTCGGGGAAGAGAATAGAAAGAGGAAGGTGCATTCTATTTACATCGTGTTATTTTCCTCTTATTTTAAAGTTAATTTCGCATTTCGTGACCTGTCATAGGGACAACGTTTGTTGGATTCTTGATTCTCTCGTTCTCCGTTGTTCTTCCCTCTCCCCTTCCGCTCCTCGCAAGCTCCTCCTCCTCCTCCTCCTCCTCTTCTCGTTTTCTTCCTCCTCCTCCTCCTCCTCTTCTCGTTTTCTTCCTCCTCCTCCTCCTCCTCCTCTTCTCGTTTTCTTCGTCCTCCTCCTCCTCTTCCCGTTTTCTTCCTCTTCTTCCTGTACACACTCACACACGAAGTTTCAGACGAAGTTTCAGACGAAGTTTGATGCGAAGTTTCAGACGAAGTTTCACACGAAATTGCACTCGCGCATCAGGTTGTACCTGTCGTCTTGACACACACTAGGAGACACACGGTCGCACTCCGATCAGATCGGGACATGAGGAGCTGGGCCGAGAGCGATAGTCGACTGTAGGCCGCAAGCCTCGTACTACTTACTAACAGGAAGAGATACTCAGTCAGTGTGGGCCCAGAGTTAGCTCACCGCGCCCAGAATTAGCTGCTGCAAGTGAATGAACACGAAGCTGCTTAACGACTGAGTACACGAAGCTGCTTCGTCTTTTGTTTGTTTCTTTTTTTTTGTTTTTCCTTGCTTCTCAATGCACGAACCTGGTCGTAATTCTGCCTCTTCTACTGTTACTATATCCACATAGCTTCTTGTAATCAATCTCGCCATCGTCGTTTCCGGTAGCTGCCGTCGTTGGTTACATTGCCTGAACCTGGTCGTAATTCTGCCTCGTCTACTGTTACTATATCTACATGCCCTTTTTGAGTCTTTGTTAGTAGCTGATCGAAATTTGGTTGTCGTCACTAGGTGATCAAAATTTGGTTGTCGTCATTAGGTGATCGAAATTTGGTTGTCGTCACTAGGTGATCGAAATTAGGGGGTCTAAGTTAGGTGCTCGTAATTAGGGGTTGGTCGAAATTTGAAGAAATTTTGATCTTCCGATATCCCAACGCATCTGGACGTATTCTTGCATCTGATTCCGAGTGTAATTAGGGTGGCCGGAATGGGTACACAGTCTGTATGTGTCTGTTGATCATCAAATTCCGATTGCAAATCCTACAATGAGCCACGATTTCTAGTGTCGATCGATCGATTAGGAGGCCACCCTGTCGAACGGGGTTTTCCATAACCATCGTCTATTTTCCCTAACGAAAAAAAAAGAAAAAAAAGAAAAAGGTTGTTCACATTGTAAAAGAAAAGACTAAAAAAGATAGTAAAAGGAACAGAAACGACAAGTTTTTTTTTTTTTATCGAACAAAGAAAAAAGTCGTTCACCATTTCCCTTGAAGATTCATCGATCGAAGTTGGCCGTTTAATTTTGATGATTACTTTTTAGTAATTAAAAAAGGATCAGGCTAAAGAAAGAAAACGTTTAAAAAAAAAAAAAAAAAGAAGAAAGAAAACGATCAGTAGTCGTACGCTAACCACACAGGCGACAAGACGCAGGCAAGGAAGAAAACTAGCAGCAGTAGTTAAGAGCAGCAGCAGCATTTTAGCATCATTTAGCAGTAGTTAGCAGCAGTAATAGTAGTCAAAGGAGGAGGAGGAGGAGGAGGAGGAGGAATAGGTGGTGGATTCTATCTGGAAGAGTGAGAGAGAGGAAGAAGGGCTGCGATTTGAAGCTTCCTGTGTGGCAAATTGCGTCCGACGATTTCTTGAAGGAAGGGTAGAGGTAGGTGGTTCTCCATATCATCTGTGGACTTCTTTTCCTCTCGCTCCTTTTTTTTTTTTTTTTTTTCTCTGGCGGCTTCTTGTCGGTGTCTCGATTTTTCTCTGTCTCTCTTCCTCTCTCTGTCTTGCTGTAAGGGGAAGGGGAGGCTGTCCTCCCTCTCCTTCCTCTACTCTCACTCTTCTTCTCTCTCCGAAGCAACACTGCGATCATTCTTCTACTCTCTCTCTCTCTCTTTCCACTTTACCCTCGCGCATGTCTGGTGGTTGGGTGAAGTAGGAAAGAAAAAGGCCTGACTCTTTCTCTCTCTCCCTCTTTCTCTCTGTCTCGCTCTCGTTTTCCCCTTTCCCCTTTTCTTTCTCAGCAGTATTGCGATCTAGGCAACGTTGTGGATCAATTAGGAAAGTTGGCAGTGGGGAGGAGCCGTCCGATCTATCTAACGGTGTGGACCAAGGTAACGGTGTCGATCAATCAGGAAAGTTGGCAGTGGCGAGGAGCCGTTGGATCTATCTCTATTTAACGGTGTGGACCAATTAGGAAATTCGGCAGTGCGGGACTCGCATAGACACACGCCTAGCTGGAACTACTATCTTCTTGGCGGGAGGAGTAGCAGAGCGCCGATCTGAATTGATCTTGCTTGGCGCGCAGTGTCCGTTTATCTGAATTGATCTTGATTGGCGCGCAGTGTCCGGTGATCTGAATTGATCTTGCTTGGCTTACAGTGTCCGGTGATCTGAATTGGTGTTGCTTGGCGCGCAGTGTCCGGTGATCTGAATTGATCTTGATTAGTCTCAATTGATCTTGATTGGCGCGCAGTGTCCGCTGATCTGCATTGATCTTGATTGGCGCGCAGTGTCCGTTGATCTGCTTTGATCTTGTCCCTTTTGGCGGGGAGTGTCAAAACTATTCTGATCTTGGTTGGCGGGAATTATCGAAAATACTTTGGCGCGCAGTGTCGAAACATATTCGGAACTGGTTTCTTCTGTATATCGAGCCTTTTATCTGACGACATTGGCGCGCAGTGTCAAAACATATTTTGGGCGCGCATTGTCAAAAGCTGAGAACTCCGGCTTACTTACTTGCTTTTTTTGAGTACCGAACGTCGATCTTATGATCTGATGACATTGGCGCGCAGTGTCAAAACATATTTTGGGCGCGCATTGTCAAAAATTGAGAACTTCGGCTTACTTGCTGTTTTTTTGAGTACTCAACTTGCGGCTTAACTTTCACCCAACTTTTGAAACTTTTAGCCGTTTGGTTTTAGCGTCCTATTCCTATTTGGGAGGTGGCGTGTTCGATTCTTGGCATCGGCTCGTTCACATAGGATTCGATTCGATTCGACTACTTGCTTTTTTGAGTACCGAACGTCGATCTTATGATCTGATGACGTTGGGTACTCAACGTCATCAAAAATTGAGAACTTCGGCTTACTTGCTTTTTTGAGTACACAAGTTTGAGAGGTCGCGTGTTCGAATTTCGACAGAGTCGCGTGTTCGATTCTTAGCGTCCTCTTCGGACTGTGTCGAAATTCGATTCGATTTTTGTGGAACGTCGATCTGATGACGATCTGACGAAGTGATGATGTCTATCGAAAGACTCCAAGACTGTGCAGGGGTCAACGACACTCTTATTCCATCCCATCTGAATCACCCGTACTACACTTTGTGTTAATGGATATATGAAATATGGAACTTGAGTCGTAAGATCGAACCTCCGTCGGCTTCTTGAATTTCGTTGATTTTTTGTCCTTTCTTTTCTTTTCCCTTATTTTCATGTAACTATTCAATTCTAGAGAAATAAATTAGAGATTTTTTTTTTCCTTATAAAATTCTAGTGGCAGCAGTTCTTTAGTCGGCATCCTGTGCGTTCGCAGTATCTTTACCTCTCTCTCTCTCTCTCTCTCTCTCTCTCCCTCTTTACTCTCTCCAAGGTCGTTTCTCTCTTTCTTTCGCACCGCATAGATCCTTGTGCCAACTTTTACCTGCAGATTGTCCGTATTTTGATCTCAGTCATTCCTTTTTGTTAACGTGCGCACATAATCCGTCTATGTACATAATCCAACTGCGGATTTCAAAGCCAAGTTCTCTGGTTTGTATGCTTGCAGATTGAATCCTCACTGTTCTTACTCTGGTTTCACATTGGGAGGTGTGCAGATACACAGACCGAACGCCGAGACATACGAAGCACGCACACGCGCGCACACACACACACACACACACACACACACACACACAGAGAGAGAGAGAGAGAGAGAGAGAGAGAGAGAGAGAGAGGCGCATTCGCCATTTTTTTGACGCTTTGTATGTCAACTGCTTGTCGTCTTTCTTTCTTTTCGTTAAATTGTCCTAACAATCTGTTCTAGAGGTCGTATGTCTTTCGGCACATCGATCGCAATGCAGACTCGATTCATCGTCCTTCTTCTTGTTTATACGTTCCTTCCCAATTCTACGAAAGATTGACAACGATCAATCTTCTCCCTCATTCGTGCATAAAAGAGAGAGAGAGAGAGAGAGAGAGAGAGAGAGATTACAACGGCGTTTGATTTTGCGGATGGGAAGAAGGCGGCGAACAGAGAGCGGCATCCATCATTGAAGACAAAGAACACAATTGTGGTAAGAATCTTTTACGTTTCCCGTCTCCTTCCCTGCTGATGTCCTGTTATGAATTCCGTGTCGTCCCCGTCTGGATTCGCTGTCGTCCCGAACTGGATTCGCTGTCGTCCCGATCTGGATTCCCTGTCGTCCCGATCTGGATTCCCTGTCGTCCCGATCTGGATTTTGCCTGTCGATGCACCCTGTCTTGATCTTGATTCTCTCTGTCGTTCCTGTCTCCTTTCCTGTCATCCCGATCTAGACGTTCCTGTCTCCTTTCCTGTCGTCCCGATCTCGACTGCTTTCTGTTTGGAGGATCGCATTGCCACCGCCTTTCAGGTTCTTTTTACTTTTTTCTGCTCTTTTCCCTTTCTCCCCAATCTCCCCTTTTTTTCTCTTTTATTTTTCTATTTTTCGGTCTTTTTTTTTGGTCATCTCCCTTGTTCTTCACCTTTTCTCGTCGGAGCTGTTGCATGAAAATACTGTCTTACGTGTTCTCTTTGCGAGCGGATGTGTTCTCGGACGTGTGTGAGGTGCGCAGACAAACATACTCCTCACACACACACACACACACACACACACACACACACACACACACACACACACACACAGAGGGAGGGAGGGGGGGATGTGTGTGAGTGTGCAGACAAACCCACTCCACACACACACTGTGAGAGAGAGAGAGAGAGAGAGAGAGGGGGGGGATGTGTGTGAGTGCGCAGACAAACCCACTCCACACACACACTCAGAGAGAGAGAGAGAGAGAGAGAGGGAGGGGGGGATGTGTGTGAGTGCGCAGACAAAGCCACTCCACACACACACTCACACACATCAGTCAGATAACTGTTTCTAGCAAATGGAGTCGTCTCGTCTTGCCCTCTCCTTCTTCTTCCTTCGTCTCTTTCCTCCCGTCTGCTAGTGCATCCCTCTTCTCCTTTCTTCTTGGTCCCCGCTAGGTCCTCCTCATCCACCTCCATGCTTTTCTTCCCTTGAATTCTCCTCGTCCCGAGCTGATGCTAGGGGTGCTGATAGGAGCAGGCACCGCTATCACTCCCGGGGAAGCTCCATCTATTGGTGGGGACCACCACATGCTGGAAAGCGGGTCCAGCGTCCCTGAAAATTGATTGTAGTTGCTTGATTGAACAGATGCAGCGTCAGCTGATCATCTACATGCCAGCCTAACGTAAGTGCTACCGTCTTCCCCCGAACATAACGCACCCTTAAAATCAATGTATGCAAGTTATATTTCCGGCCAGATACAGCCAAAATGAGGGTGCGATGCGTTGTGTTCGGGGGAAGACGGTACGATACACGAGTCCCCTGGCTGCTGCTGATAGAGCTGGACTCAGATTCTGTGCTGTGATCTGCTTCTCCCCCATTCACCCCACCCAGCGACACCATCTCCCGGCTTCCACCTATGATTGACCCTCAGTTCATTCCGCCAAGCACACCTCCCATTCCCCCAATCCCCATCTTTCTGAAATCTACTATAATAGCCATACAAAATTAGGCAGCCAGAGATCCCCAGCCGACCGAAAATTGCCTGCCTCCTTCCGCTTCCACCAGGTAAGCCTGCCTCCCGCTCCCCTCCCCTCTCCCCACCCTCCCTTCACTTGCTGGATGCTACACTTTATCCTCCTCCCCCCCCCCCCCCCCTCTTATTCCAAAATGGCCACAACTGGGGCATACTCTCTTGGGCCGGTTGTTGAGGTTCGACTCCTGGAAATTACCATTTACTGAGGTTCTTCTCCTGGAGTTTACTATTTACTGAGGTTCGACTCCTGGAATTTACTGTTTTTACTGAGGTTCGACTCCTGGAATTTACTATTTACTGAGGTTCGACTCCTGGAA